AGCAGTCAGCACCCATTGATTGTTAATGAGGTTCCTCCACAGAAGTGGGTCCCAGAGTTTTGCAGACTGGCCTGCCAGGGCCAGTTGCCTGCAGGGGCCACCTGTCCTCCAACAATCCTGGTGTTGAGCGGAGGCTGACACACACTGAGGAGAGAGGCAAAGATGAAGTGGGAAAATAATAACAATAGAAGCTATTAACAACATATTTATGTCTCAAAACATGTTTAAATGGCAGTGCCAGACAGACAGGAAGTAAAAAGTGACCGTAGAAACTTTGACTTACCACTTAGTTGTGAGTGAGACTCTGAAAACATAAAACAAAAAAAATATTTTAGATAAAGTAATGGTGTATATATTTACTGATATGTCTTAGTTATTTGACGTGGTATTACATGCGAGGAATTTTGTCATCATTTGTAACATTTCTTACTAAACTCGTTCAAACACAAAACTGTTTAACAGGCAAACCTTCAGCCCTTTTTCTCTCTCAGCTAACAGACTGAAAAATAATTTTCCAGTTACAGAAACTGACTTTGCATTTGTTAAGTCTTAATTTTTCCCAATTTCTGCCACATTCAGTAAAATAAGGATTTGCTGTAACATGGAGGAGGGCTCATTCTGATCGTGCATGACTAACTGTTCAGTGAACAAATGTTCTTCTTGTCCTCAGCTAAAGTTTTGCAAACAAATATGTCATCGCTGTGTTGGTACAGCAACTTCAAATAATCCTTTAAACAGGTTAAAATTGTTTGGTCCTTCGTTTATCTAAGCTATTCACATACATACTAGTACATACTCGAAGCAGCCGGTTACACCAGTTTAGATACAATAAGTTTGTGGCGCCAATTGTGCGAGTCTGTTTGCTTAAATAAATACATGTCAGCACCAGCACAACATCCCCTACATTGTGGTGTAAACATGATGTATGAAGAGTAAACATTATGACAAGGAGAGTTACTTGAAGAACAATTTCTAAGAAGATTTTGAAGTGAATTCCAACTCTGTCAGTTGGCCCTCCTGCGAACAGTCTGTCCCTGAAAAAGTTGAAGATGTGGAACATTTTTCTAGCTCAAAGTATGAATGACTAGATAACAGTTTAAACATTTTTAATATTCTGTCCATTCATTTGAATATGAAAAATGTCCTGGAAACAGGGACATAGGTATAGACAGTGCAGACACTGCAGCCACACTGGGGCCCCCACTGTACCCCCACCAGGTTAGGAGCTGAAGTTCGTCAGCTACATGGTAAAAATGCATTTCAGCCAGGGGCTTTGTCAGGCTCTTGAAACAATGGGGTCTTTGCCTAGCCCAGAAATCTGTCATGTTTTCACCTGAAAATTTAAAGTTTTAAACACTTAATTCCCTGCAATCTGGTGATTTTTTCTGCACCAATTTATTGAGGAAATGTATTTTATTTATATAAAGAGAAAAACAACATCCGGGTTCAAAATAAACAATATAGTGTAATATGATGCAGTGCAGCTCTCGGGCATTCTGTATTGCTGGCAGACACGTTTCTCCTGTATATCAACTTCTCATTTCATTTCATCCCTGCTGAATCAGCACACATGTAGGCATGACTGAAGTAACACCATGAAGTTCACCTCAGTGATAAATTCATTTATTTTAATTTAGTTATAAACCTATGCACTTTAATAGTTCCTATGCTTCAGCAGTTTTTCAGTTTAAGTGATCTTCAACCAAAATGTAGCAATCATGGTCAGTAGCCTCCGTTAGACAGGCTGCGTCACAATTATTATTAGCCTAATAGGGGAAAACATTTTTATTGTTGTTGTTGAGCTACATTCCAGGATACATTCAAAACATTAATTCATCAAACATCAGATTCCCATGTCACTTTATACATAAATAATGCTGAAGTGATAGGATATCCAGGGCTTGACATTAACTTTTTTGCTCACTAGCCAATGTGGCTAATGATTTTCCTACGTTACCAGCCACACAGCATTTTCACCAGCCAAATTTATATTTTAGGGAAATTGCGTTTTATACGATTAAAGTTGACAATGATGTGCTAAAATGCACTAATACTATCATTAGCTCTAAGGTTGTGTGTAAAGTTCCTTTTTTGAAAACATTCAGTCTATTAAGATAAACACATTTATGGAGCTAAATTAGGGCCAAATGTTTTGTTAATTTGAAAAAAGAAATTGTAATCGAAAAACTAAAACTTGAAATTGAAAACTTAATTTTTTGTCGAAAACTTAAAAAATACAACCATGTACTCAAACTAAAAATAAGTTTGCCAATTTTTTTCAGTTTAAATAAAATATTGATTTATTTCTGGAAGTATTTTGAAGAAATTATTTGTTTTTATTTTTCACTTTTCCATATTTTGATATTTTAGGACTTTTATTTTTCAGTTCCACGTTTTATGTTTTCAGAGTCAAAGCTTATTTTTTTTTACAGCATCAAATCTTTTTTTTACAGCATCAAATCTTTTTTTTACAGCTTCAGATCTTTTTTTTTCACTTTCAAATCTATTTTTCACTTTCAGATCAGTATTTTTCAGTTTCAGACTTTTGGCCCCGATTTTGCGTGGGGGGCGTGGTTTCAACGGAGAGGGGCGTGGAATCATGAGTGACAGTCTAACAAAGAAGGAAGAAGACTCTCCTCAGTCATGTTGCCTTCACGAAACGTAGGCACTGCGAGAATCATGGCTCAATGCTTTCTATCCACCATATGCATGTGACTGGCAGTAAACAAACTAATGCCAGTGGCTAAGTTCCCAAAAAGCTGTTTTGGACAATACGTGGGACCAATTACACTATAATAATAAATTGTGCCAGTTTGTGCAGTTCAGCAGCTACACTTTAAGAAGGAACTTCTCCCACTTACACATACGACATGAACGCACCGCTGTATTCACTCGCCACGGCAACCCGCTGGCGCCAGTGCACAGGTAAGACATGTGAAATATATGGGCCGTTTAGAATATATTCTTTGGGGACATTATCCCACAGTGGATAATTATTTTATCGTAGGGACACACATAAAGGGAAAATGCGTTTGAGTTTGACAACTGGACAAAGCTGGAAATGAAGCATCGCTTGGATTAGCATGAACTAAGTTAGCTCCATCCTACTAAAGCTAGCTAGTGTTTTCAGTAACTAGCTAAAGTTCTTTTATGCCTTTAACGTGGATTTTCTTTGTTAACCTCTGTTTGTCAGAATGTCGACCATAACTCGACAGTGGCTGCAGCCGCACAGAGCCTTATAAACGTGCTCACACAGAACATCTCTCAGGGACAGCAAGAGCAAGGAAGAATGCAGGAACAGGGATCTTCATCTGTAGACCAAGAGATGGCCAGGTTTTAGATGGAATTTTATTGTTCAAGTTCATTTTAAAGTAATTTAACTAGTTAATATTTTATTTGTACATTTATGACCATAATAAAAGAAAAAATCATTTTTAAATCATGCAGATCTTTCCCTGGATTTTTCTCAAGAAAAAGTTACCTAGGAAAGCGAAAGATACAGAGTCCAAAGACCTATAGCACACCATATACAAAAACCTGGAGGCCTTTTAGTTTCTATGTTTACCTGTTAAACATAAATTCAGAGACAACCCCAACCTCATCTGAAGAGTCTGAACTTGCTCAAGCAGGGCTTGGAAAAAGACATCTCACCATGTCCAATATGAGTCACAAGGAGGTATTACAGATTAAACTTTGCTCAAAATGTCTTATATTTAAAACATGACCCTTTTATCCTAGTGGTAGGATATTCTTCAAGCATTGAGACATCAGCTCCTAGTCATGGCAGGGAGGACAATAGACAAAAGAACAATTTCTACCTCCATCTGCACTCCATTTGCACTGTTTACTGTGTTAAAAGTTATTTTAATTCTAATTCTATTTTAATATAGGTTTAATGTATGTTTAATGGATGTATGTTTTGTATGCTACTGGATACTTGAATTTCCCTCGGGATAAATTAAGTGTATCTATCTATCTATCTATCTATCATCACTTAGTTATGTTCTCTTAGTTCTTTCGACTACTGCAAAATGAGTACCCTAAGATGCAGGGAGTGACAGGTGGATGGCTGCTCTACAAGGCTACAGGTGAAGAAAAGTAGTAATATAATATCCATTTTCATACATTGCCATTCAAATAACTTGGCCAAACATATCTAGTTGAAATAATCCAAACAATGTTGCATTTACAGGTGGTCAGGGTAAAAGGAGACTAATAATGATTCCTCCAGACTCTGATGGATACACCGGAACTCTTCTTCGCAGTGTCACAGGGGCAGGGAAGAACACCCTGTATATTGTGCCTTTGCAGCATGAGTTTGACCTAACTCCACTACCTCCAGATGCCATTGAACTCCAAAGTATGCCAAAAGCACAATGTCAAACTTGCAAAGTGAGTTTTCCTTTGCACATTTTGGCCCTTCATGTTCAGGAGTGCATGGAGTCTCAGTCAGCAGGAGAGGATATTGAGGTAAGCTATGTAATACATGTGATGTTGCATTGTACAGCAACTACTGCTTTTCATGAGTTATAACAGAACATTTTCATATGTAATATCTTAGACATGTGAAAACGACATCCAGATAGTTTCAATGACAGCCCCCCCTGTACACCATGACACTAAGACATCTTTTGAAGAGGTAAAGTGTTAAATGTTATTGTGTTGCAATGTGAAAAGCCCACATAAACTGTTCTGTATGAGACTGTTGCTAATAGTCCAACTGTTCTGTCTCCAATAGAAAGTTCCATGTCCTATCTGTTTCTTGAAATTTACACCACAGTTTGTAGAGATCCATGCTAGCATGTGTGGAGAAAGGTAATTTGTATGCAGTGTTTTATGTTCATTTTAAATGTATATGTAACTTGAGTACTTGTTTTATCTATTCGTACTAATATGTGCACAATACATGTGCTTTTGTAGAGAAAAGGACAATCTTAAGATGACTGAGACACCTGCTGCGAGCCAGAACAATGGAGAGGAGCAATCTAAAGGTAAATACTGTGTTGTCTAAATACATAAACATCTTCATCCTACACAGATCTTAATTCTGCAGGTTTTGCAGTCAACATTAGTAGCTATTTATTGATTCTAAGTTTGGTTTGGCAGTGTTGATGATGTATTGGATGCCATGTGTGGAAGAGTTGACCTAGAGAAACAGTTCAACATCCAAATCTCCAGAACAAACATTCTGGAGAGAGGCCTACTGCAGTGGCAGCGTCAAAAAAAAAATTCACCTACTGCTGCTCTGAAAGTGACATTCTTTGGGGAGGCTGGAGTGGACACAGGTGCTCTCCGAAAAGAATTTCTCACAGGTAAAACAAAAGGAAACATATTTGAATCCACAGAACAGTCTCTATGAATAACGGGCAGCTCATCCAAATCATGAAGAAATGTTACATTTTTATTAGTAATATGTCCATCACCTAAGGTCTGTCCTCGAGTTGTGTATTAGGTTTTCTATAATGTACAAAAATTAATATAACCCTAACCCAAATTAGACAAACCCTATTGAAATGATCTGAATGGCTAAATAGAAATACATTTTTATTATCTTGGTTGGGTTTCCAAGTAATATGGTCTAAATTAAATGGCTAATAGTTAATTCACACGATAATAAAATATTACTTGATGTAGACCCTAGACCAACACAGTTATTGTGTTTGTACTTGTGTGAATAGAAATGATTGCAGGAATTGAGAGCCGTTTCTTTGAGGGGCCAAAGCACCAGAGGAGCCCACGATACTCTCTGACTGACTTTGACAGCGGCCTGTACAAGTGGGTTTATTTTTATGCAAGTCGGGACAAACGGTTTCTTTCTGTGAAACATTTTTTAAAACATTAATGCTTAATTTGTGTAAATAGGACTGTTGGAGAGATTTTGGCAGTAAGTTTGGCACAAGGTGGCCCGGCCCCTGCCTTTTTCAGCCCATGGACTTACAGTTACCTCTGTAGTGGCCAGATAAACCCGGCGACTCTCAATACCGAAGCAGTTGCAGATGTCCAGTTGCGAGAGTTAATTGAGCAGGTATGACCTCTGTATGAAGAAAATACTGGGTTGATCAAGTATTCCCTGTCAAACAATATTTTCATGTGTTTACATGGTAAAGAAATTTTCTTCCTGTGATTTAAATTTATATTTTCAGGTTGAAATGTCAACTGAACATTCAATTGAAGGCCTTTCTGATGAAATCATAAATTGTGGATATACTGGAGCTATCTCAGTGCAAAACAAAGAGTCCATTGTTCGGTATGTTAGGACATATATTTCTGTTTGTACAGTAAAATTAATAAAAGGGAATTTTTTTTTGTAGCAATTGTTTTCCTGTCTACTATTGTAGTGCCATTGTACTCCATGCAGTGCTGAGGCTGCAGCCTATGTTGGAACAACTGAGAGAAGGCCTGCAGCTGTATGACCTTCTTTCGCTAATAAGGCAGTACCCAGATATCTGCCAGCCCCTGTTTGTTCCCGGTGAAGATGTAAAAGTAAGACAAAACTAGACCATTTAGTACTATTATATGAGAATGAATTAAGAAATGCTTAACTGCTATGACATTTAATAATTAAATGGTGACATGATATACAATTTTATCTCATCATAGGTTAATGCAGAGTTTGTCATGGCATCCATTCTTCCTCAACTGAGTGACAAAGGGACTTCCAGGCATCAGATTGAGCTGGAGATGATCAACTTTATTCAGGACTTCCTTTATGAAGCTGAAGGTGTATAGTTGTTAATGTTCTGCAAATCAAATATTCGAAAGCTCAGTAAAATGTGTTTTCATGACATTTTGAGCTGTATAATTTTCTGGTACCACCTGTAATTATGCAGGTATGAATATGTTAACGTTATTTTCTACCTGAAAATTTTTGATAATGGTAATAAGTACTATGGACCAGGGTAGTTTTTGTTTTAAGACAGTTGTCACTTTTTTTGAATGCAAGGCTGTAATCACAATGAGCATACATACAGAGAACATACATACAAATGATTGTTTCCCTAAACCCATTGTTCTTAATGAAAACCTTTACAAATCTATCACCATTCTATGTAGAAAGACATCGCCAATAATGAAAGTATATATAATGGCATATATTCATTGTGTTTGGCTAAGATAGTCTTCTCCAAATCATCTTGAAATGTGACTTTTTCTGTTCTTCTGTGGCTGAGTACCTTTGTCTAATTCACTCCTTTAATTGAAAGAACTGCATGGCAGTAAGGAATAACATTTGCAATGGTCACATAACACTTGTTGTTTTATGTTTGCTTCATAGCTAAAGACCAGGTAGATGACCAAGATGGCCTACATTCCATCACACCTGCCAGGTTGCTCCAGTGGATCACAGGCCAAGGTCACATCCCACTTCTTCCCTCAGAGAAGAAGGATTTTGCTGTAACAATCAAGTTTAACCATGACTGTAGTGCAGACTTTGGCCATCACAGTGTGTGTTACCCCGTTGTGTCAGCATGTGCCAAGAATATTGTACTACCTGTAAAACATATGAGGCCTTATGACCAATTCAAAAAGGTTCTAACTGAGGCTTTTCATCTGGGCCAACAGTTTAACATGGTGTAAATATTTACCATCAACTGATGCTACCTTTTTCTAGGTTGAACTACAACCTACAGTAAATGATAAATGTTGCACCAGTTGCTACTGTTTTATTTATGTTCTGATCAATGAAACACATTTCTTAGTAATACGGTGTTCCAAAATCCATATTTGGAAAGAGGAATTAGTCGAGAGTAAACATTAAATTATTGTTTAATAGCAGTACTGTTGAGCATTTCATGCAAACATGTTAAGGTTAAGAAGGTAATCTTGCAACAAGATTTCATAAAAGTAATTAGTTTACATCTCATCTAGATGTCTGGCTAATTGGCATCATGTTGTCTCACTCACAAGTTGCAGCCCAGCACTCTGAGAAGCAGTTAAAGAATGTTTGTACCATGTAGCTTCACTGCTGTCAGTAACAATAAACATTTAAAACAAGTTCAATGTACACTTTGTGTAACACATTAGTGTTAAGCTGGTTTTTGAAACAAAATTCCTGCATCTACGGTACATGATTTAGCACGTAGTTCAATACAGCCAAATAAATGTCTCGCCCATAGGAATCTGATGGTCCTGTAACATCAATAGTGTTCCTTAAGCCTGTCATGTCCTGCTCAGAGAGAGGACATTCAATGGGCGGAAGAATCACTCCAGGACTGCTCACGTCTTGCTCGCTGGCAGTGTTGAAATGAAGATCTGCATCCTCAATTTCCTACATTTAAAATAAAAAGGTCATTTATAAATCAGGGAACATAAAAGTAAATTTATAAAAGTATTAAGAAGACTAATGTGAACAGAACGGATACTATGCTGATGCCAGTATCAATACAGTATCAGCTCCTTTGTATTTTATTCAATGCGACCTAAGCTGTTGTTCAGCTTTTAAACCATTTTAAGCACTTTGATATTAGTAAACATTCAAATTCTCTGCAATGTGAATTTAGAAAGAATTAGCTCTGTTATCACTTTCATTAATTTGATACTGATTGCAAACCACATAAAATCAGTTTTTATAAATTATATAAAATAATGATGCTACAAAATGAACTTTACATTATCTTGCACCAACTTTTCATCAGTAATGTAATACACCATGAAAATATAATTTCCAAGCTTTATCATGGAGTAAGTTTTCAGGGATTTCTTTACAGTGTTGTACAGATATTTTAAACACAATGGTTGTGTTTAAAATATTTTAATTAAATGAAACAACTGTAATAATCAATACAAACAAAATGTAATTAGTACCTCTGTCAGGTCTGGAGCATCAACAGGATTCAGGAGGAGCCCCATCATCCACAGTTGTTGCGGGGACAGATTCTGCTCTGTTCTCAGAGGGTGATTATCCCACCCCACCCTGAAGACATCGAGATCCCTCTGCAGACGTGGAAGAAACACATGCTGGGCACAGAAAAGATGGATGCTGTCAGAAGGATCTAGAACACCTTCGTCCTCAAGGCTGTGAAGAATCTCGTAGTGCACATTGGAAACAGTCATCCAAACATCTCGCCACAAACGTTCTATTCTGTTAAAAGAAAACATAAAATTATCTTCAAGTGGGTACAGTACATTTGAACTTGCACTTGAACTTGTGTAAAAAATAAATGGAACATGGAACAAAGGTAGCCCAATTTAGATAAGAATTTAGATTTATTGGACAACCGTAAGTGAAAGTTCAAGCTACTGCTCTTCCCTAGACTAGAAGACGGATATAAAGATGCCATTGTTAATACTCTGGTCACATACTAGGACATGATCCAGTGGTGGGAGTGGGTCGGTTCAAACTGGTTTGATATTCAGCCAAACACCAAACCGAACCTTTAGGTGTCACATTGAACGCAGCAGATGCTCTCCAAAGTGACACTGAACGATGACAAGAAATAAACAGAAGAGCTGGTTCCACCGGTTACTTCAAATTAAACTGGTTTGAGATTCTAAACTGCACCGGAATAGTAAAAATAGAAATCCACCTAACTCTATCCAGTGGTAAGAACACTTGAAATACAGAAATACAGTAAAGTCAAGAAACCATATAAAATACATAACCGCCTCACAGGCTGTGAAGAGCACACTATCTAGTGATATCTGGACCTAGCTATATTAAATATATTACGGCTTCCAGTCAGATATACATTTCTTTTGATCTATGTGGATCTGACTTATTTAGAAGAGTTTAATACTTGCCCTATTATGTGCCTTTCATGTTAGGTGTTTTATGTGGTTTCTTTGTTTTGACTTTATCTTTTTCACATTTGGATCTGGTAAATATTAAGTGCCCAGAGAGTTTGGAAGAGTGTGCAGACCTTTGCTTCATGTTTTGTGTTGTTTGTTGTTGAGGCTTCTGGATGTGTGTGAACATACCTTTGGTTGTGTACACTCTTTCCTGACAGGAAACTCCCCCTTCCACAGCCTCTAATGGTGAACATGCATCGCGCAACACCAACGTTTTCCACTCCTTGGTCACCTCTTACTCTAAAAAGAAACCGTCACACATAAAGAAATAAATAAAAAGTTTTTTAAATAAAAATGCATCATTAAATGTTTCAAAAAAATAGAAGATAAGCTAACTTCTAACATCTTTATGTATTATAAAAATACAAGACAAAAAATCCAAAGCACTCTCTTTTAAATAAATAAAATGCCTTTATTGTAATGGTATTTACAAAATTTAAATGCCCACTTAAACGTGCTTTGGCATCAGGGAGATGCCAAAATGTGTTTTAGCACGCATTTTAATTCTTATATAACCATGCCATTATAATAAAGGCATTTTAATTGTTTAAAATGCCTTTTGTTTATGGTCATCTTACTGGACAAAACATTGGTCAAATGAAGAATACTGGTGCTCATGACCAGTATACCATTTGTTTGAGAACTTTAAAATGAAAAACCCTGTACATCCTTAACAAGCAGTTGATACACAAATGACTGAGGTAGGAACTACCACAGTGAACCACACTTGGTCTTACCTTAATGGAAAGCCATACTTCTGCACTGCCTCCATGAAGAAATCAAGTGCAGTGGATGCTTTATTATTGGTCGCAGCACCTAGGTACATGATCTGAAGAAGAGAATATTATTCACTGGAAATTAAATGAAAGCATTTCATTTTTCAAACCTATAACAAGAAGTAGAACCATGTCTGTCATTTTGAATCTCATTTAGTAGTCATCATGCCTTTCGTGAGAAGCCATCAATCCCTCCAAAAATAACAAGGCCATATCTGTTGGGGGGGACGACACTGAATCAGTTTGATGTAGTACTTGTGTAAATTTCTTTGCTGATGCAAAACAACAGTGTTAAAAATGTGGTGGGGAATTTTGGGGGAATATTAATGTTTTCATTTTTAATTTATCATACTGAGCAAAAATATATGACCTACCTGATGAGCTTATGATTTGTGTCGATATGCACCAAGTGCAGAGGACCCTGGACAGAATAAGTCCTTCTTGCAACACACCCCAACCTTGTCAGTCTTGAGAGTACACCAACGGAGTCTACACGATGCATGGATGAAGACACCCTGTTCCACTGGACACGGTGACCCATGGCCTGCAGGATTCCTTTCATCATTCTGCACCCTACATGTGGTGTCCTGGCCTTCACCGACCTCACCAAATTGTCAAGTTGTTCATCAGTTAAGGTACTGTAATACTGCATTATGGAAAGGCCGTATTCATGCATGCGCCGTTTCACTGTCCTCTCAGATACACCCAGAAGTTTTGCAATGCATGGCACTGGTAGGGACATTTCTACCAGGCTTTGTAGTTGCTGATGAGACACAACATATTTTGGCCGTCCCATTTCTGCTTGCAACACTGGCACCTGACAAAGACTCATATTAGAGCTGTCCTCTGCATTGACAAGTATTGACAACTCTGTCAATGCATTTACAACATCTTGTGGCATCTCAACTTGGCCTGACAATGACCTAAACAGGACCATCTCCTGGTTGACTACAAACTGCAAATAGCCCACATCCAGCGGGAGTCTCTGTGTGACCTGGGAAATTTTACTCAGAAGTCTGTGAAGAAGGTCTGTTTTCAGTTGTTCCTAAAATAGACAAATATGATTTTACATTAATGCACTGGTCACATTAAATTACTTTTACTATTAGTTATTAGTATTATTAAATTACTTCATCTCACATACATGTAACAAACAGCATGACAGTTATGCCTTACAAAATATGCAAAGTGGGCAAACTTAGAACACAGCCTAACTTATGTATCAGAATACACTATCAAAGAGGATTGGAAAGGTTAACGTTATGCTATGTAACATAAAGTAAGTTAACCATGAAAAGGCAATACATTTCTAACAACATAAAGTCAGTCGTTATCTATATTTTTTAGGTTTATAAGACTCTGTGCAGCTGCAGCCACTGTCGAGTTATGGTCGACATTCTGACAAACAGAGGTTAACAAAGAAAATCCACGTTAAAGGCATAAAAGAACTTTAGCTAGTTACTGAAAACACTAGCTAGCTTTAGTAGGATGGAGCTAACTTAGTTCATGCTAATCCAAGCGATGCTTCATTTCCAGCTTTGTCCAGTTGTCAAACTCAAACGCATTTTCCCTTTATGTGTGTCCCTACGATAAAATAATTATCCACTGTGGGATAATGTCCCCAAAGAATATATTCTAAACGGCCCATATATTTCACATGTCTTACCTGTGCACTGGCGCCAGCGGGTTGCCGTGGCGAGTGAATACAGCGGTGCGTTCATGGTCGTATGTGTAAGTGGGAGAAGTTCCTTCTTAAAGTGTAGCTGCTGAACTGCACAAACTGGCACAATTTATTGCTCGTATAGTGTAATTGGTCCCACGTATTGTCCAAAACAGCTTTTTCAAGGGAACTTAGCCACTGGCATTAGTTTGTTTACTGCCAGTCACATGCATATTGTGGACAGAAAGCATTGAGCCATGATTCTCGCAGTGCCTACGTTTCGTGAAGGCAACATGACTGAGGAGAGTCTTCTTCCTTCTTTGTTAGACTGTCACTCATGATTCCACGCCCCTCTCCGTTGAAACCACGCCCCCCACGCAAAATCGGGGCCAAAAGTCTGAAACTGAAAAATACTGATCTGAAAGTGAAAAATAGATTTGAAAGTGAAAAAAAAAGATCTGAAGCTGTAAAAAAAAGATTTGATGCTGTAAAAAAAATAAGCTTTGACTCTGAAAACATAAAACGTGGAACTGAAAAATAAAAGTCCTAAAATATCAAAATATGGAAAAGTGAAAAATAAAAAACAAATAATTTCTTCAAAATACTTCCAGAAATAAATCAATATTTTATTTAAACTGAAAAAAATTGGCAAACTTATTTTTAGTTTGAGTACATGGTTGTATTTTTTAAGTTTTAGACAAAAAATTAAGTTTTCAATTTCAAGTTTTAGTTTTTCGATTACAATTTCTTTTTTCAAATTAACAAAACATTTGGCCCTAATTTAGCTCCATAAAAACAGCAGTTCAAAATGTAACGTTCAGAAGAGGAGGAAATCTGAGGTTTTTACTTACACCTCATTATTTCAAACTTTGGCCATGTTTAACATGAACATATAACATTGTATCATTTTAGATAAGTCATACAATGTGGAAAAGCACAATAGGTCTCCTTTAAAATGGCCCAATGACAGACAGACAGGAAGTACAAAAGTGAGCGTAGAAACGATGACTTACCACTTAGTTGTGAGTGAGACTCTGAAAACATAAAACACAATATTTATGATACAGTAACTGTGTATTTATATTTACTGATATGTCTTAGTTATAGTTCACATAATTGGTTTAAACGGAATCCACAAATATTACTTTAATTGCATGCTTACAAAAAACTCTAAGTTGCAGAATTATATGTCTGTATGAAAAACAAATTAGGTTCCTCTAACTTTCAAATAAAGCACAATTCAACTTAGTTAGCTTGCGCTATACTAGATTTCTGGCTTGAAAAATATATACAAGTAATACAAAATGTATGAAACATGTGGAATATTTTAGGAATTGTTGAAAAGCTGACCGTAAACTTCATTGCTGGCTTTAATTTGCATATTTTTTTATTCATCCCTCGTTTGTTGTTAACATACAGTGACCATTGGGGGTTATTTTAATTTTATTTAAAAAAAATTTTAGGTAAATCTATTGTTGCCAGTTAAGAAACAATTATTTGTGAGGGTTTTACAACCCCTATTCCAATGAAGTTGGGATGTTGTGTATAACGTAAAGAAAACCAGAAAACAACGATTTGCAAATCCTTTTCAACCGTAATTCAATTTAATAAACCACAAAGACAAGATGTTCAAACTGATAAACTTTATTGTTTTTTGCAAATATTCACTCACTTTGAATTTGATGCCTGCAACATGTTACAAAAAAGCTGGGACAGGTGCATGTTTACCGCTGTGTTATATCACCTTTCCTTTTAACAACACTCAATAAGGATTTGGGAACTGAGGACACTAATTGTTGAAGCTTTGTGGGTGGAATTTTTTCCCATTCTTGCTTGATGTACAACTTCAGTTGCTCAACAGTCCGGGGTCTCCGAGGTTCATAATGCGCCACACATTTTCAATGGGAGACAGGTCTGGACTGCGGGCAGGCCAATCTAGTACCTGCACTCTATTTAACTACAAAGCCACGCTGTTGTAACACGTGCAGGATGTGGCTTGGCATTGTCTCGCTGAAATAAACAGGGACGTCCCTGAAAAAGACGTTGCTTGGATGGCAGTAAATGTTGCTCCAAAACTTGTACGTACCTTTCAGCATTAATGGTGCCTTCACAGATGTGCAAGTTCCCCCTGCCATGGGCACTAACACCCCTGTACCATCACAGATGCTGGCTTTAAACTTTGCGCTGATAACAATCCAGATGGTCCTTTTCCTCTTTGGCCCAGAGGACACGACGTCCATAATTTCCATTACTATTTGACATGTGGACTTTTCCACTTTGCATCAGTCCATCTCAGATGAGCTCGGGCCCAGAGAAGCCGGCGGCGTTTCTGGCTTTCGCTTTGCATGGTAGAGCTTTAACTTGCACTTGTTGATGTAGCGACGAACTGTGTTAAGTGACAATGGTTTCCTGAAGTGTTCCTGAGCACATGTGGTAATATCCTTTACACAACTGATGTCGGTTTTTAATGCCGTGCCGCCAGAGGGATCAAAGGTCACGGGCATTCAATGTTGGTTTTCGGCCTTGCCGCTTGCAGAGATTTCTACAGATTCTCTGAATCTTTTAATGATATTATGGACCGTAGATGATTAAATCCCAAAATTCCTTGCAATTGTACATTGAGAAACGTTGTTCTTAAACTGTTGGGCTGTTTGCGGACGCAGTTGAGTGAACCTCGCCCCATCTTTGCTTGTGAGCCTTTCAGGGCTCCACTGGGCATTTTCCCGGTATGCCCAATCTGGCATACCCAAATGTAACGCGACAACAACATAAAAAATATTACTAATATACAATAATCCTCATCACGCAGCCTGTCTCGCACCTCATCAAAGAGAAGAGGCTACTCACAATACTATTGCTACATTTTGTTTGAGGTTCATGTAACCCCCCGCTGTTACTACCTGCCTGCAGAGAGAGAGAGAGAGAGAGAGAGCATTGCTCACAGCTTCAGGGCTCGTCAGCGACAATAATAATTACTAATTAATAATAATTTCTTATATACAGTCTATGGTCAGCGACTACTAATTTGTCCCCGAGCAAAATTGTAATCAAAACTTTAAATATAAATGTTCTCGGTCAGCGTCTAGTCAATGTACTCGCTACACACATGGTTAACAGTCTGCCACAAAGTAGTGAGAGAATAACATGACACACCTGACCGCGACACAGACACCTGTCTCTCTCTCTGCTGTCTCTGTCCCCCTCGTCAGAGACTCTTTGCTCTGTTTGACTGTCTCTCTGCTCCAGGATGCTTCATTCCCTCTGTAGCGGCTGTGAGCTGCACTTTATCAGAGGTGCTGAAGTGAACATGTGTGTGGATGTGTTCTGATATTTCTGTCTGATCACAAGTTTTTCTAGTTTTGGTTTTCTACCTCTGATGAAGAGCAGTGAGCTCGTCTCATCCAGTACAGTCCAGTACAGTTCAGTACAGTCTGACGGTCTAAAGGGGGTAGCAGCCTACTACCATATCAGCAGAGCAATAAGGCACAGCAGTGGGGCAGGTAGATTTTGTTAAAATATAATGACTTCATTCTCATAATATCTAGTAATAATATATCTCAAAATGTTTACTGCAAATGTCAGAGAACACAGAGATTTTAATGTGCAGAAAGTTTTGAACATGATCAGAACTGCTGCTGAAATATAGGAGCTATTAAGGTGCACGGGTTAATAACTGAATTAAAATAAATTCATTTATCATTGAGGTAAAAAGGTGGAAAGTGTTTATTTAAAGACTTTAGGTTACTTCGGTCATGCATGTGTGTTGACTCAGTAGGGAAGAAATAAAATTAAAAAACAGGAGAAACATATTTGACAGTAATACAGAATGCCTGAGAGCATATATTTATATAAATAAAGACATTTCGTCAATGAATTGGTGCAGAAAAATTCACCAGAGGACCCCCTGACCCCCCTCTTAAATTTTTTTTTTAAATAAATGTATTTATATGGCCTATGATATTTCATAATGAAAGTGTAGCTCAATAATTTATAGGGTATTTGGGGAACAAAATGTGTTGACAGAGGGGTCTTGGTGCTTTTCCACATGTGCATGTGACATTGCATTCACAGGTGAAAGGTGCCTTGCCATCCGGTGACTTTGTACCCTTTGTTTGCATCCAAAAAAACTAGCTGAAACCAATTTGAAATCAGAGTCACTACAAAGTGCTGAGGACTCTTCAGGAGTGTAGGCTGCTCGCTGCTCCCTGGTGACCAACACAAATCATTACATTACATTTATTCATTTAGCTGACGCTATTATCCAAAGCGACTTACAATTGCTTTACATGTCAGAGGTCACACGCCTCAGGAGCAACTAGGGGTTAAGTGTCTTGCTCAAGGTCACAGTGGGGGATTGAACCCGGGTCTCTCACACCAAAGGTATCTGAAGGAACCATCTATGAAAAAGCGCCCTCCCTCCAGCAATAGCGTGCCAAGCTCCAACAAACAACAAGTGACGTGCAGAGGGAAGCTCTATGTCACCTACATGGGTTCAACTATGAAACCCATTTCTTTGAGACAACGGCACCCATTGTATTTGCTGTGGAATGAGGACAGTCAGGAAATAGAAATATTGTGTTTACAGCATGTTTTCTGGAAAAGAGAGACTGCAGCTGTTTTGTTTCTCTTTCTCCTTTTCAAACTGAGCTGTTTGAAGGGGTGTG